GACATTTGCATAATTGACCCATGCAGGATTCGCGCACCAACTGATTTCATTTACGATGCAAGTGCTGACCACCGTTCCCTTGCTACACTGATACTCCCCTTCCAACCCCCCTCGTCCATCGTTACGTATCCCATGTCCATGTCCTGGCCAACGTATGCTCGAGCTTTTGCCCATTTAGGCAATTTACATTTATAGCCTGGCGCATGAGGTGCTTACGAGCTGTACAGGATGTGCCGCCATTGGCGGTATACTGCAGCTGGCTAAGAGTGGGGCTTGGGGGGTGCACTACCACGGGGCGGAGTACCCCCTTAGCCAGTGAAATTTACACCCGTTGCGGTTTTGCATCCAGCCAATTTTAGCTGCTGTTGTTCGTTGCTGGCAGCCAAGTTTATTATGAAATTAGAACGCATGGTTGGGATTGGCCAAAAGGGGTGGCGCTGAATGGGGGTCTAAGGGGGTACAAACTTGGCTATATAAAGTGGCGGAGAGAGGGGCGGAATAGAGGCTATAGGCGCTGCATTGCAGTCAAAAAACTGGCACATGACATATGAACTTAGTACCGACATTGTTGCTGTTGTGTTGTCGCTTTGTTGTTATAGTTATTAAATTATACACTCAGCCTATAACAAAATCAACAGCAGAGACTTGGGAGTGGAAAATTGAGAGGGGGATGAAGGGGTAGGAGGAGTTTGTAGAGGCGAAAATGTTTGGCGATTATTGCCAAGGGAATTGTAGGCACATAAAAGGGGAAACTGACGACAGACGCCTGGGCTGGGATTTGGTTATTTAGGGGGTAAAATTTAAAAGGGATATCAAGTAAAGGGGTAGAGAAAGTAAACTAATAAAAAATAATATAAAAAATATAAAGAATATCTACAGATTGATACAGATTGCTAACTTATAAAGAAGTTAATAAACAGTTTTCAATCTTAGTCTCCTAATCAATCTCCATCTTTTATAGTTAATCTAACCAAACATGATTAACAAGTTAAAATTAATAAAACCTACTTCTTTCTCATAAAAAACCTACATTTATGGCCTTAATAATTTGCACAATAGAGGGAATAATTCGCACAGCTCTGTAATTACAGCCAACAATTTAAATAGAATTTTTTTATTGTATTTAAAAGTGTGTCTGCTGCTGATACTAAGATCAGGCTGATGATAAAGCTGCTCTATTTTAGTCCATTTATGCAATGTACTATATATATATGCAGTCCCGTACTGGTATTAGTTGTTCTTTTTGAGAATTCGTCGACAGTTTTGGAACTAAATCAGAATTTATGCTTTGTTTAAATGCTGTAAAAATGTCGCTGATTTCTATCGCATGACAATAATTATAACAACAACCCGAGCTCAGTAATAATAACTGTCTATACGAGGCATTCATATCCATGAATATATATGTTTATATATATATATTAGATACAGAGAGAGAGAGGCAAACTGAACGCGTATTTAAACCGATTTTATGGAGCATTTAATTGCTGCTGCTTATGAACTAACCCGAACAGCAAATAGCTGAAAAACCACAGCCAGAGAGTCGTACAGGCTTAACAACCTCGGCGTCGTTGTCGGCGTCGGCCAAATTAAAAATGGTAACAAAAGGTTAACGTAAATTGTTAAAACTAAATTATACATATAAACAAAACATTTTTGTGCGATTAAAATCGGAATTACACGCAACGTGCGTCGGGTTTTTTTTTTTTAAGCGGGGGTCTATGTGGGAGGGGGCAGACATGGTCTATGGTTTGGGCCATGTCTGGTCTTCTTTTCATAGATATATATGTATCTCTATATATGTATCTCTATATATGTAGAGATATACCCCTTTTTGTCTGCTTGACGGCGTCCAAGCGGAGGCTCCATCGCCGGAAAAGCTGCGCACGTGCTGGAAAAGTCTGCACCAGAGGGAAATTCTAAGGCTCATACATACTTAGATTTCTTTGTAATAGCTAAGGTGTAGTTTAGGGTACCTGATATAGGTAAAATCAAAGTCTTTCACCCATAAACAGTGATATTAACTTATATTTAAGTCAAACTTAGACATAAAACTAAGTTATTTGCCTTAAAAGTCTGATAAAGAAGATTAAACTTAATATTTATTTTGCACTTAAAACTTAACTAGCAACCTCTACACCTTAACTCTTAAGTTTAAAACAAGAGCTAGTCCATCTTACCGAAAAGATAAGATAAACTTAATTTGACTTCATTTCGAGCGAATAATAAAAAATTCAAATTATTGAGTTAACTTATCTTTATGCGACACAATTTAAGCTTATCACTGGTTTGGAATTTCATTTAATTTATATTCCCGATATTTGAGCTTATAAAATAGCATTAAAATAGGAAAAACAATTTTATTTATGTTTATTTTTCTAGGCTAGCCTTGGCTGTATTTTTCACCTAACAAATATCCAAGACAAATTCAATAATTTATGAGCTTTATTTAATTTTTTTGTTAATTCTTGATAAATTATAAGTATTTTGATTTCACAAGCATATATCACTTAACGGGGCTCTTCAAACGGTATCTCATCAATTGGAAAAAATAAATAAAAATTGATATCCTTATCGAATAGTGCCACCTGTATCTGCTACAACTTCCTCAACCAATTGGGGCTGATGTGTACTTATCATCGGGCGATTACCAGTCCAGTTCACAGTTCTTGACAGTCAGACGTGACAATTCATCCATTTTGAGGCCCTTAAGTAGACATGACTGGGGAAATCTTATCGCCGAAGCCCCCAAAAACCCATCGAGATTTCCTTAGTAGCATTCCATTGTGGCCCCAAAGAGCCTCGATTGCTAGAGGATCTCGGCTGATGTTTATCAGTTTAAATATAAATCGTGGTTTAAATTACTATTAAACTATTACCAACTCCAACTTGGAGATATCTAAATGTTATTTTTCAGCTAGTTTATGACCCTCTTAACGCATTCATATGATGTGTTTTCATCCATTTAGTGATTAAAAACTCGAAATCACCTAAAATTCATCACCAAACACTCGAAAAGTACTTCCTAACCCCTGCACATCTGTCACTAAAATCGGATTAACTTGATAATGAACCAAAAAATTGACACTCTTTAAAATAAAACTCCCTCAATTTGGAAGTACGATTGATCAAGTGCGTTGATTTAATCTGAGGATTGAGATACAGATGCCATACCTCATGGCATTTAATCGAAGATCTCCGGAGTTCGACGACGGCTTATTTTCCTAGCCAGGGTATCCTTTGCACTATAGATTGTCTGGCAGATTGTTTGCCTTGTTCTGTCGGTTGACACCAACAGCAGTGTGTTTGTTGTTTGTTTGTTTTTCCTTTTTCCCTGCTTTTTCAGATTGTTGTTCTGTTGTGGTTCGTCGCTCGTGTTTGGTGTTCGCACCGTTGCTTGATCTGATTTTGGTTACAGGTTTCTGTATTTTGGCAGCCCGTCTCTTGAGTTTCGGGTTGGATTTCTGTATCTTTATCTCAAATTATGTATCTGTAACTATCAACAGCGCTATCTGCGACCGCAGGTATTTACATACATAAACTGCTGCTTAGGTAGTCAGCTCGGGGGCTTTGACAAACGGTTTATTTTAGCCATAAGCTTAGCCGAGATCTGGTCAGATTCATATCACGAGCAGCAATATGAACTTATGAAATGCCTGGGCAAAGCGATCTTAAAAAACACAAAATATATTCAAAAATATTCATATGGGATTAAGTCGGCCTGGGAAACTTTCAAGCTAGCAGCTGTCTTTCTTAAACTCTTCTTGTTAGCCCCTTTCCCTGTCTTAGCCCAAAGAGCTAGCATCCTTTTTGCCCCTTCACAGGTGCAGCCCCGCTTAACCCTTTGGCGCCAAAAAAGTTTCTTTTTAATGTGAAAATCAATGCGGGGGAAGTGAACAGTATTGGTTCCTTAAGTGGAACTTAAGACTTCTTTAAATAAAATAACAAGTTTTGCAATTAAATTTTATGATTTTTAAAATTTTTAATTAAAATTTTCATTAAAAAAGACAGCAACCAAAACTTTAAAAACTAAAGTTTGTTGGCTGACAGTTCAAGTCTAAGTTATGGAAGTTTGACTGTGGCATAAACTGGCTCACGTATCTTCAACTTCCTCCTGTTCGCATGTGTGTGTGTGAACTGTTTATGCGCAGCAGATGTACCACTACAAATGCGTCCCCCAAAAAAAGGAGCCAACTTGCCGCGAAAATATACGAGCTCCATATTAATAATTTGCATCTAGATACGAGACAAACAATCTTTTGCAAGTTCGCATAGTTCGAGGACTTTTCTTAATTTCCAGCTGCTAATTTATGCAAATTTTACAGCTATAGTCTTCTATAGCCATCCCGCTTGCGCACACGCACACGCACTGGCACAGGAAGGCGGGCAGCAGGCAGCAGGCAGCAGGCGTATATAACTCAAAAATCGCCAGACAAATCTGCACACATGTTAAGGCCCATAAATAAAGCACATAATCGCAAACGGAACGATCGATGATTGTTGTCACTGCTTGACAGGGGGGCGTGGGAAAGGGATGGTTATACCGAAACTGAGAGAGCTCATAGATAGAGAGGGGTTGGGGGACACCTGAGAGCGCAGCGAACAGACAAGCAAAACGCTGGGATATATGTGTGTGATAGAGAGGCGTGCCGCTGAGAGATTATTGAACGATGCACTCGAGCGAAGCCAAAACCAAACAACAAAAAATCAACTGCAAACTGCAACAAGAACAACAACAACCGGTTACCTGCACACACAAAAAAACACGCCCCTCTCGCTAGCGGCGCAAGAGTGACAGGCATATTGCTCAATTGCTAGAAACTATATAGCTGCCTCACTTTCTCTCGCAGAGAGCACTGCTTGACAGCGCGACCATCTTGTATGTGCCAGCACACTCATACACACACACACGTAGGCAGGGCCTCAGTCAAACGGGTTTCCTCCACGCGAGCGCTTGTGTGTGTTAGTGAAGTGCGAGAGCAAGCAGCGCCCGTCTTTCCTGTTTTCCACTCGTGTGTTCCGTTCAGTTCGAATTCAACTGTTGACGTGTTTGCAAGCGTGTTATCGGCGTTCGTCCGCTCGTTTCGTTTCGTACGCTCGTTCGCTCGTATTTTGCTATCGATTCTCGTATCGACGCGACAACAACAAACCAAAAGCTCGAAAAACGCGTCGGCAAACAAAATCACATTTTCAAGTGTATTTAAAATATTAATTACAAAAATAAGAAACAAGTAAAAACAAGCAGTGCTACCAAAACAGTGTGCTAAACAAATGTAAGATCAAGAAATGTGTGATCAATGATCAGAAAAAAACATAAAAGAAAAACCAAAGAGAAAGATATCTTAAGTTTTTAACGCTAGTCGTGGCTAAAGAAATTCATTATCCTTATCAAGCAATCAGCTCCCGTAAAAAAGAAACAAAAACGAAATACCTGACATTCGAAAAATCTGGCACTTTTCCTTATCAATTTATTGCTATCAACTAAACTGCGCGCGTTGAGGAAAAACAACAACAAGAACTACAAGAAGACATTTAATGAAAAGTGTCTGCTTCTCAATTATTTTTTCACCGTTTTTTCCCCATTTCTTACCACTTCACTTATCGCTCTGCTTCTGCTGCCGATAGATAGATAAATTGATTGAGTTTTCGACTCAGAAAAAAGGCCCTGGTTATTTGCTTTTCTACCAATTCTTTTTCTTTCGGGAGGTAACAAATTATGTTGCCTTATCGCCGTTTTATTTTCGTAGCGCAATTGTCAATCGAACGATAGGCATCTTGGGCACCTTAAAGATACAGTCCACAACTCCAAAACTCAAGTCCAACTTGTATTATTAATATTTTTTCTTCTCTTTTCCCGAAGCCAAAAGCAAACAAAGAAGGCAAATAGAGAGTTGGGAAAAAAAGAAGTCCCGTTGATAATAATCGTTTCGAAAAAGAAATCAACGAGTGCAATGCACACAGCTAGCTATACAAACATATCTGCTATCTATTGCTGATAAGCACAAAAATTCCCAAAAAAAAGAAGAAAATTCGGCTACCTGTCTAAATCAATATGGGAGAGTTGTCTCTTTGGGGAGTCTCTATAAGAAACCCCCTGACAGATGCCAGTTAGCGATCGAAGCTCCTCGTTAAACCTCTTTAAATCGTTTACAGTCTAATTGGGACCACACACTCTATATATATAATCACTTAAGATCACTAAAGATCACAATAGATCACAATAGATCACTATAGAGCTAGTGGAAAACCCACCTGCCTAACCAGGCGCCTTCATTTGACAACCCGCAGCTAGGAAATCCCTGAGATCCTTTGTCTATCTGTGTGTAAACATTGTGACAATGCAATTGTTAGGACTACATGTTTATTAGATCCCCTGGGCGGGATTGCAGTCTGTAGCTCATCAATCAATCCTAAGAATGCGAAAATCCCTTTGGTTCTTGGCCATTTTCCCACACTAAAACTATATACAACCTAGTATAGCAAAGTCCAAAAATCGTAAATCAACTCTTGGTTATCCTGTATAACTGTACTGCGCAGCCATAAAGCCATAAAAAAAAAAAACAACACAACCAACAAAAAACACAGAAAAAACAATTGAACAAAAAATGTAAAGCTTGTGATAAGGGAGAGTGAGTGATAACGCCGGCTACCGTTAAAATCTTATCAACAGCAGACACCCAACTTCAAATGCTAAAGTTGTTTCCTAAAACCACAAAAATATTTCTTGACTTCCACAGAGTTTTCGTGTGTTTCGTGTGCTATATTTCTCAAATGGAAAATGCATAGCCATTAGAAAGAAAAAAACAACAACAAACAACTAAACGGAAAATTGAAAATATAAAGAGAGAGCCCGCTGACTATAGAGGAGGGATTTGAGAACCAACCGATTCCTGCCCCCCCGGTACAACAGAAAAACATTCAAAATTATACTCGAAATGGATATGACCTCAACAGCGGAGGCTGCCGCTCGCAGCTGGTATGATAGTCCGCGCTTAGGTGGCGGCGGTGGATCGTCGGGCGGCGGCGGCGGTAATGGCGGTGGCGTTTCACCCCAAACCAATGGCCTTGGCAGCGCCGGCAGCAGCCTGGCCCACAGCCATCACAGCCTGTCCAGCGGCGCCAGTTCGGCGGGCAGCAGCGTTGGTGTAGGAGCAGCCCTCGGTGGAGGCGGTGGATCCGGACTGGATACCAGCGACATGAGCGCCTTCTATGCGCTGGAAAGCAACGGACACCATCGACGCTACTATCCCAGCTATCATCAGCACAGTAAGTAGAGATGACTAAGGCTTAGTTAAGGCAGTTAAGGGAAAAACCTTTGGATTTCTATACTATATAGTTGGCATATCTGTCATTCCTTTAAAGTATCTTGTAGGTATAGATACCAGATGCAAATTATCTACCATTTAAGCAAGGATTATGTTTTTGAATACTTTAATATCTCTGTAAAAGGTGATTTATTTCCACTTAACTCTTTAAAAGAAAGCTAAATGATACACCAACTGAACTGTAAAGAAATCAATGGAAATTTCCCAACTATATAGTGAATAATATTTAGGGGAAAGTTACTACAGACCTTAACCACCATTTCGATTTATGCTATATTTAAGTAATTTCATCCATTTTTTCCTCTTTTTTTTGGTTACCCCTTGGACATTTGTTCTAATGTCATTTCTAATGCGTTTTTAATGAATGTATTTTGGCGGGGGTTGACTTTTTCTAATAGTTGCCGCTCTGCTTGGTTTTTTTTTTTGTATTTGGAATGCCACCCACTTTCGACCAACGCCCACAAATCGATTGCTTCGCGCCTTTTTTATGTAGCTTAGTGAGCGTTTCCTGTTGGGTGGTAGGGCGGTCGATTCCCCAATCAAAATTGCCGTTGTCCTGCAGCTAGTAGATTGTATCCCTGGAACCTGAAATTATGATAGGAGATAAGAACTGAAATAGTTGGAGGGAGGCGTGAAACAAGGGAGGGGAGGCCATTTTTCATTTTAATAGAAAAAAGCGATTGATTGAAGAGGCATTAAAGGAGAGATTATAGATCATAGATCAGAGATCATAGATCATAGATCATAGATCATAGATCATATCATTATGTTAGACTTTGAATAAAAATATTAACATTCAAAATTTGTTCTTTCTTACTAAAAAATCTGCCTTTAACTTCTTAACAAAAACCAAACGAAAGTTACACAAATATTCTTGATTTTTCCACGCACTTTTCATGACTCTATTAGGGCTTACTCTTTAGAGTCTTTCCCTGCACATCAACTTTAGTTTCCATTTCTCCTAATTGTCTGAAAATTTGTTCCTAGGCCAAAGAGAAAATGATCTCTGCTCATTAGGCCTAACTAACTCCCGGCCTCCCTTGAAAAACCCCCTCAAAAAAGACGACATTATTATTTATATTTCTTCATTTCGCCAAAGTATTGAGGCACAGGTGTGTCTGAAGTTCACACGCCTCCAAAAAAAAGAAGAGAAAAAGAAAAAACTGGCAGTTCCGCTAAGTTAATTTTCAATTTGAGCCACCGTTCACTCTGCTTTCTGTTTTCAGTATTTGAGTTCAGCTGAGTTGAGTTTTTCAGTTTTTTTTTTTTTAGTTTTCTGGGCTGCGACGACTGTGACTCGGCTGTCAGTTTTGACAGTTGATGGCCCAAACCATTTTCACTTGGCACTTAGCCCCCTGGCCAAACCCATTGTTGTTGCAGCTTTTGGTTAGCTTTGCTTGATTTTTTTTGTACAATTTTTGGTTTTATTGCGGTTTGCATTTTGACAGTTCCACGTAAACGCAACGAACACCCAAAACGTGACATGCATCAATGCGGCATGGTCGCTGAATTTATTTCCTGCTCTTGGAGTGTGCAAAATTTTAATTTCAAAAATCACTCACTGCAGCTCCTTGAAGGAATGTCTGGCTAAGTGAGGCTGCAACTGTCGCTGCTGCTGCTGCTGCTGCTGCTGCAAAGTGATCAATCAGGTCGAAGGAGCTGATGTGCCATCAACCAGCCAGCCAGCCAGCCAGTTAGCCATCCATGCGGCTTATCCCATCCGATCCTTTGCATTTATGTTTAATTCATGTTATTCATATGCCGACTTTATTGATGCTTGATTTGATCCCCCAGTTGCCGCTGTAATTCATTCATGCACTCGGATCTGGATACATTCCATGGGACTCCAACTCTGATTCTGACTCTGAAATGCGGTTTGGGGATTCAAATCGTTTGACAGACAGTTTGTCTGCCCCAAGTGGAGTGGCATATTCGCATCCATAACGAACTGGCCGTGTGGCGGCGGGGCACCTGTGGCGAGCGTTGATTTTAAAATTCATTAGTCTGCATATGTCACATCTCGTGGGCAGGCATATAGCAGGGAAGGGCAAGGGGGTAATCCTCCAATTTAGTTGTCAATTATGAGGGGCTGGGACTTTACAGGCTGTCATTAGTGGTAAATTAAGCAACTAGGGCGGTTTAGATATGTTTTTTTGGCTTAGACATGGTCCACAAAATGCAGTTTTAATGGCCAAAACAACACACACTCACACACACACTCATACTATCTTGAGAGGTAACATACTCGAGTCGGAAATTTTTATGATAGCCCAGGCCATAAAAACCAACGACAACGAATGTGAAATTTAAATTTCAAAAGCAAACATGCCGAAAATTTTGGCAATAACTTTTGTCTGCCCCGTGACTCGAGTGTGTGTATGTGAGTGTGTGTGTGTTTGGATGTGTGTGTTTGTATGTTTATCTTAGCTTTTGTTTTATTTTTTTTCTACATTTTTTCATCTTGACTTGACTCTTTTTCACAAACATTTTCGATGAAAAATACAAACATACAAGCTCTTGTTTTTGTTAGCTTTTTTGTTTGGTATTTTACTATTTGTCTTAGCCATGATTATACACTTGGCTAAAAGGGGCATATCTGGGCGAGGGCAATAAAAAGGAAAATGTGGTTTTTATATGGAATTTTTGATAAATATTATATAAGGCGAGAAGCTATTAAGATAAACTGATTTTAATTACCATTTAACCAGCATTTTTAAGGTTATATTTTTGTAGTTTTTTCATACCTTTTTTCTACTATTTAAAGTCAATAAATATTTTAAGACTCCAATTAAGTTTTTAACATAATGACCCAAAATTAGAGCATCTAAAGTTCGTTGCGTAATTTGAGGTCTTTGCCACTTTTTTTTCGGCTGTCTTTGCCACATTCCGACGGCTGTTAAAGCTCGAGCATAAAATTTATTTTTAATTACCCAAACTGAGCGTTTGAATATATTTGCTGGCCTGCAATTCGAACTGCCCTGAATATATAGCCTTTGCATTCGCACTTGGCCAGAGGGAGAGAAAGAGAGCTATATAGATGAACCGATAGAGATAGCTATAACTACGGTCCAACCTATATTTTTTGACAATATTCGAGTGTGTGTGTTTCGTGAATTTTCATTTGTTGTTGGCAACTTTTTATTTCGTTGCCTTTTTGCAGTGAGGAAGGCGGGAGGTAGGCTTATCGTTTGGCCAAAATCGAGCAAATGAAAAGTTTTTGCTTCTGTTCATAATTTTTGGCTTTTGGCCCGAAGTTCCCACACAGCCACTTAACGCAAATGTCACGCACAGTGGGCTGCCGTTACAAAGGATATCAAATGCGAGATGCGGGCCCATTGAATCCAGCTTTTGTTCCCTTCTACTGTAGTTTATATGAAAAAGAAGGAAAAAACAGACTCAAACTCAAGTCAAGTTAAGTCCAAACTAGCCTTGCTACCAGGTGTTGCACTTGAAGCGCTGTCCACTCATAAATTTTCATGTGGCCAGGCCCGAAAGCGCATAAACCGAACGGAGTTTTCCAAGAAATGGCTTTGGCTTTCGGTTCGGGGCTGGGCCGTAATAGTTGTTGTAATTTACCGACTGCAACCATGAGGCTTTTATAAGGCTTACATAGCGTGCCTCAGAGTCAGAGTCCAGAATCTCGGCGGCAAATCTTAATCCCGGTGCGCAGGTTTTCAGCGAATTGTATGCTATGCCTGGGTTGGCCTATAAAAGTGAGTTATGGTATTGCAATTGAACAGCTGGGCCACCGCTGCGTATGATTGATGTTCACTTTTTGGGTGGCTCACTTGCCCATTTAGCCCTATTCTCTATTTAATTCACACACAAACACTGATCAAAGTGTCTTGCCAAATCATTCCACATTAATTATGACCCAAATTCCTGGAAGCATTCCTTACGGAGTACTGCCCATCCATCCATCCATCGTACGATCCATTGAGCGGCAAAGTTGAATTGCCGTTTTGTGTTTTATATATTGCTCGTTGCATTGACAGTGGCCGGTCATTCATTCCACCGCACATGTTGCTGCCGCTGTCACTGCTGTGCTGTAGATGTTGCTGCTGTGCTTTTGCTGCTGCTGCTGCTGCTGCTGGCGCGATGTTTTAATTAGTCGTGGCACAGCGAACTGTCTTTGCTTAATTAAATGACATAATTATAAGAATGTGCTAAGGGGGAAGAGCAGAACAGAGAGTCAGCCTACGCCAAAATGCCACATGCAACACGTGATGTTGCTGTCGTTGACATTGCCTTGCGATGCTTCAATTAATTTGCACTCCAGCAACAGTTTGCTGTTGTTGTTGTTGCTGTTGCTCTTGGCTGCTTTGCATGCCTCATGCCGCAGAGCCAAAGGTGCCGCCACATTGTCCATTGTCCATTGCAGCAGCAACAACAGCAACAGCAACAGCAACAGCAACTGCATCAGCAGCAGCAACATTCCCATTGGCAACACGTTTCGCATTCTAATTTGACATTCGCCGGACTGCGGCTAGTTTGCCTAGTGTGAACAGCTGTCCTTCAATCACTATCAATGTCGCCTGATGTTGCTATGTTGCTATGTTGCCATTGCCGTTGCCGTTCTCGTGTTGCTTTTCCTGTTGCTGCATCAATCTGGCCAAGATGGCGACTGCCAGTTTTGCTCCTTTAAAGCTTGCCGCTCCTGCTTCTGGCGAACTGGGCCGGAAGTCTTTGCTGCCGAGAATCCAGGCCCTGTCATTTGTCAGCCGCGATTTCCAGGAATATATATATATATATATATATATCTGTACATTGTAGCAGAATACGAATATGGTTATGTATGGGCTGTGATGTGGCATCATCAATAAGGCGGCTACCGGGCCTCGTTATTAATTTGTTAAATCAAAAAACAGCATCACGGCGATTTATATCAGAAGGCGAGACAAAAGCTTACGCACGGCAGCAACATGTTGCTGTTGCTGCTGT